CCATTGGCAAATTTAGTAAGATCAAATCCCCACAGTCCAGGCTGGGTAATTTTGTTGCGCGAATTGTTTTTTTGCGACTCGCAAGACAGTTTTTGCGACTAAAACGTTTGAGTGATTACCACTCTTGCAGTCAATTTCACTCAGGCTGGCTGTGGCAGACCTGAAGCTAGAAGTTGACTGGAAGCCCATCCTTAAGGTGAGGTAACAATTAAAGCAAGGATAGCCAGTTGCTAGGGTAGTAGCCCATACTGTTCCGACACGTTCATGAAAAAAGTAGAAAAAAAAAGTTATTTTTTCTTTTTTCTTCAATGTAGTGTTGTTTTTAGAGGGTGGTATGATTCAAAACTATCGGATTGAGTAAAAAATTAGTGATTTATTGACGATAGACAACAATTGTATCCATGATAAACAACAATTGTATCTGAAAAAAAAATGAAAAAGTCTTTGAAATTTAGACAGGTCTTGATAGTTTGTCATAAATCCTCTGCAAATTGTAGAAAACTACAATTTTTCTTTGTCCAGTGAGAATTGTAAAAATTATGTTTACTTGCGGTCTTCTTGCAAAAATTAGAATTTAACAACTCAAGTTTGTCATGTTTCCTGTCTCCAATTTTGACTGAGTTTTATCCGAATTTTATCCAAACTTATCCGAATTAAACATCTTGAGTTAATAGATGGGCTATCATTGAGTCTGTTTGTAAAAATCTCTCCCTGATGAAAACAAGTAGAAGCACAATGAAAACAAGAATGGTCGTATCAGGGTGAAGCCCTGATTGTTTCGACTGCTTTTTAAGGTTTATGAAGCAGTAATAACATTAAAAAATTAAATGTAAGAAAAAATAAAATGAAATTTTTTTTTTCTAAAATTTGAAATTTTTTATGAAAATCATCCCCCCACACGCCATACAAAGTACAAAAGGATAAATTTTGCTCCTTGTAACAAACAAATTATGACGAATACGCTTCTTTAACCAATTTGGAACGATTTCTAAGACGGATTAACTCTCCGCTTACGCGTTAATAGCGCGAAAAATATCGCGCGTTAATTGTCCCAAATTGGCCAAAATGGCAATCTTTAAACCCCCGTAACTTTACGAAAATTGATCACAGTTGAAAAATTTTTTTAAATTTGGGCTCAGGGCAACAATACTTTTCGAATGATATTAAAAAAAATCCGTCAAAAATGGCTAGTTAAAAAGTCGAATTTTGTCTGAAGAAAAAAAACCCACCCCGAGCACAAATATTCCGTTACTTTCGTATCGAAAGTTGGAACACTTACTTTCGTATCGAAAGTCGGAACACTTACTTTCGTATCGAAAGTCGGAACACTTACTTTCGTATCGAAAGTCGGAACACTTACTTTCGTATCGAAAGTCGGAACACTTACTTTCGTATCGAAAGTCGGAACACTTACTTTCGTATCGAAAGTCGGAACACTTACTTTCGTATCGAAAGTCGGAACACTTACTTTCGTATCGAAAGTCGGAACACTTACTTTCGTATCGAAAGTCGGAACACTTACTTTCGTATCGAAAGTCGGAACACTTACTTTCGTATCGAAAGTCGGAACACTTACTTTCGTATCGAAAGTCGGAACACTTACTTTCGTATCGAAAGTCGGAACACTTACTTTCGTATCGAAAGTCGGAACACTTACTTTCGTATCGAAAGTCGGAACACTTACTTTCGTATCGAAAGTCGGAACACTTACTTTCGTATCGAAAGTCGGAACACTTACTTTCGTATCGAAAGTCGGAACAATAATCACTTGACAATTGCAAAATTAAATGCGAGAATGACCGATTTACCGGGCATCAGCGTACAATTTATGAATTTTCAAGGGAGTTGAAGTTTTTTGGCTTGTTCGCAAATATCCCAAACTTACTCTAAAGGCGCCCATTCACCATAGCCTATTTTAATTTCAGATAGAAGAAGTGATTCGGGAGGGTATGGACCCAAATGGCTTCATCAGCTATGACTCATCTTTTCGTCTGTGGTGCCCATCCAATGAGAAGTTCTGGGAGAACATCGCCAAAGATTTCAGGGAGCAGAAGAAACTCAAACAGCAGGCAAGGGGGTTGAATTTTTTACCCTGATGTACTTGCAATAAAAATCGGAATCAAGATTTTTGCAATTAATTGCCAATAGTACTAGAAAACTAATTATATAACGGCTGTTTCCAAAGCTGTTATTTTAAAAAGACCAAAATTAAGGTCTATAGAAATTAATTCCTTCTCCAGTTTCCTAACCCTTTTGAAAAAATTGGCTGTGTCCATGATCAACCAAATAATTTATTAATTAATCGTATAGGGCGGCTTCATCACCCGAATGTTCCGATCTATAACTCCAAACCGAAAGTCATTCAGCCGAATGGGAACCTACTTCAGCTCAACTGTGATGCGGTCAAACAGATTCGGCTCCAACCACTCTTCGGCTAGCCGCACCTCTAAACGCAGATCACGTGACAAGAACCACAACCCAGTTACAGACACGATTAAAGAAGATACGGAAGATTCGACCGGTTCAAGGCAGCTGGATTTTGGACAAGTTGTAGACTTAGTACTAACTAGACCGAATAGTACGAATTACAAACACGAAACTGAAATGGAGATTGAAAATGAGGATCAAATTTTGGACCAAGAAAATTATTTGGATACTAAATCTATCAGATAGTTTTTTGATGATTTCATTGTTTATAGATGAATTATCGCTTCAAAACACGAACAAGCGAAGCTAAAGCAAAGTATGTACGTTTTTAGATGGTATTCACACCAGTTTTGAAAACAATTACGAATTGACGTCTAGTTAGAAAAATTCAGGTTGAATTTGTTAAAAAATTGTCTGTTTTGTCAAAATACTCTCAATTTACAGAGACATTGTTCAATTTTTGTGGGAATAAGAACGTGTATACTCTGTCTTAACTTCGCCGACGATCATTGTCAATAACTGTGATTAGTTGTAAGCTGTTACATATTCATAGATGTTCATTCATTTTGCTTATCAAATTTAGTTGTTTTTCCTGTCTGTTTTTGGTGAAAACTTTGAATTAAAAAACTTTCAATCAAATGATCTGAAAAGGCAAATGTTTTAGAGGCTCTGATTCTGCCCTAAAACAACTCAAACCGCGAAACTTTATTGCCATTCAGGCCAGCCTCCAAAGTTTTTGAACGTCATGAAAAGATGTGAACAGCAGTAATTTTGCACAATTTAATTTCATTAATCTAGGAAATTTTTAAGTGTAATATTCGAAGAGTCATCGTTTTAGTCGTATTTTAGTAATCTTTTTATAGTAATATAATCATAAATTGTTTGCATCGTAGATTTCATTCAGTTTAAAACCTAGTACTGTACAACAAAATGAAATTTAAGTGGGAGAGCTCTAAAGAACTTTACAGCCCGTTTTCAGCGCTTTCATTTTTGTATTTTCTTTTGTTCTTTTTTATTATTTTTGTTAACCAAAAAAATCAAAGCTAAATTGGCAAAAAAACTGAGAACCCGGGTCGAGATCCCGCTCAAACCGCTCAAATCTTGCTTAAAAAAACCGCTCAAAAACCGCTCATTTCTTGCGGTAATTTTTGAACGGTTTTTCAAGCAAGATTTGAGGTGTTTTTAGGCGGTTTTTGAGCGGTCTTATGAAGAAAACTGATTAAAACCAACAAAAAGGCCTGGAAAAGTAACGTGACGCTAAAATGCAGTTGAAATACTATCTACAACTCGGGTTGACCTCCATAAACCGAAAATGCTTATCTTACTTTTCCCACACCGAAAATGCGTATCATACAATTGCCTACATCAAATGTATGGAAAAATGCTAATCGTACAATTTTCATACAATTTCAAAAAACCAATGAAAAATGATTCAATCTAGTTTCTCCGGCTATTTGAACCAAATAAAACAGTCTGGTGATGAAAAATAACTGGTTTTGGAAAAAAAATGGTTCTCATACAATTTCCATATACGAAAATTGTATGATAACCATTTTTTCATAAAAGGCAAGATTTTCAGAAGCATGTTAAAACTTGTTTTTAATCAAATTTAAAGTAATTAATAGTGCTTTTGCTCGATTTAAAGCACCTCGCTCATCAAAAACGAAAATTTAAAATGAAGCTTAAAAAAATGGCTATCTGACAATATCCATAAAATAAAGTAAGCACTTCGGCCCGGGTGTCATCCAAATATCAGTCAAATATCAACCAAGCATCATTCAAGTATCATCCACGTATCATTAAAGTATCATTCAAGTAAGATTCAAATATCAATCAAGTATCACTCAAGTATCAATCAAGCATCATTCAAGTATCATTCACGTATCAAAACCTTGAATATGAGGAAGCTAAATCAACTGCCCAACACTTCCGTCCTGGGAGCCAAATCAGCTGTCCAACACGGAATTATCAATTTTATTCTCGCAATTATATGCTAATTTAGTTTTATCAAGTTTTCATTTAGATTAAAAAAAAAACCCAACAGTTTTGGATTGCGAGTACAGCGTCAAAATATGAGACTAAACTTTTCAGGTGGTAATTTTTTCTTCTTTGTATGATTTCCCATATCACTCATCTTCATAAATTTGAATAGCAGTGTAGTAAATTTCTACTTTTATACGCACCATCTCATATAAATTAATGACGTTTTTGGTTTTTTATGAGGTTTTAAACGTCATATAACCTGCAAAAAAGAAAGCCCGTGTCTATATTTTTCACCAAATTGAGCGGTGTCAAAACTTGAGCGGTTTGAGAGATTTTTTTAGACAAATACGCTCAAAATCTTGCTTGAAAATGAGCGGTTTGAGCGTTGTCAAGATTTGAGCGGTTTGAGAGGTTTTTTTAGACAATTACGCTCAAAATCTTGCTTGAAAATGAGCGGTTTGAGCGTTTTTTGAACGGTTTAACTAAAAAAAAACGCTCAAAAACCGCGCAAGATTTGAACGGTTTTGAGCAGTTTATCTAAAAAAAACCGATCACAAACCGCGCAAGATTTGAGCGGTTTTTGAGCAGTTTATCTTAAAAAAACCGCTCAAAAACCGCTCAAATCTTGCGCAGTTTGTGAGCGGTTTTTTAGATAAACCGCTCAAAACCGTTCAAATCTTGCGCGTTTTTTGAGCGGTTTCTTCAGATAAACCGTTCAAAAACCGCTCAAACCGCTCATTTTGAAGCAAGATTTTGAGCGTAATTGTCTATAAAAACCGCTCAAACCGCTCAAATCTTGCTTCAAATTAGGTGAAAAATCTCGACTCGGGAAGCGAACAACTACTAAAAGTGTAATTTTCTACCATTGACAACAAAATTATCGTTAAGAACCTTCAATTCAAGAAAGTTGAACCAAAAAAATAAGCAATTGGTATTTTCTGAGCTTTGAATTGTCCAAAAGTTTAAGATTGAAGATTTTACTCAATCTTATAAATTATTTATGTGAAGATTCGTACTTGAGTAGCAGCCATTAATCCATACTGTCAAATATGGACATTAAAGTTGTTTTATAATCTATTCTTTATTTCATCTTTTGATTTGATAATGTTTAGTTTTAGTTAATTTCTATTGTTTAAAAGTAGGTTATCTAATATCTACATGACTCGTATCCGAAACAAAATTTGGTCTTGTAATTACAATGTGGCGAGCAACTTGAGTGATGTTTTTTATAGCATCAAATATACTCCTTTTTCACCACAGTCACTCAACATGAAAAAATTATCTACACAAAAAATATATATTAAGCAAAAAATCGGAAACTTTGTATAGCTTTTTTTGATGATCCAGAAAACTAGAAGGCTTGATTATGAAATAATCGAATGCGTAAGTAGTAGAAGAGTGAGCAGAAGGGGGGGGGGGGGTTTGGTCCTTGCAGACCTCCTTGTATTAAGATAGGGAATAGAGCATCCGGTCTGCAAGCTATGTATTAAGATTGGGAATAGGTTTACCAAAATATTAAGATAGGGAATAGAAAGGTTTTTTGGTTTGTGTGGTAAGAGAATGGGAAGAAAAAAGGTTTTTTATTTTGGTAAGGAAATGTCTAGTTTTTTCCTCAAAAATTTCGGCGCGCGTTATCTATTTGGAAATATCAAGGGTTAATTAAGTATAGGTTGTGGAATTAAGGTAATTTAATTTTTGGTGCAAGGTAAGTCAATTGTAAGCAATGGTAAGTCAATGAGAAGTTTCGAAAATTACAAAATTCTTAGTAGGAGATTTAAATAGCTCCAAAAAGAATGAAACAGTGCTTTATCTACATGAAACTATGCAGAAACCTGACTGAAACGGAGCTGAAACTTCCGTATAATCAGAAAAATAGTCAAAATTCATATTTGAAAATTGTTACGTACAGTTATGTCATCAAATTAGACTCAGCATCTGTCGAAAACGTATTCTTTTTACGCTCTTTATCTAGTTTATCACAATTTTTTTGGCCTAGAGAATATCTATGTTGTATACAACCTCAGTTCAAAAAAATAATTTTGATGTTAATTTTGAAACATTGGTGGAATTTTGCCTGATTCGATTCTAATTTGAATTTTTTTAGATCCATAATAAAAATTCATTAAAAAGAGACAAAACTAAAAATATCATTTGCACATCCATTTTAATTAAGTGAAATGTGATTTCTGCGAAATAATCATTTTTCTGCTAATTTACCATAAACACATATTTTATCTAAGTTTTATCACAATTATCATCCTAGGTTCGTGTATGAAACAGATTTCGAAGAATTTTGTACGACAAAGATCAAAAACTGCATCTGTTTTTTATCAAAATTGGTAGATAGATACGAGTTTCAAATTTCAAAAAATGTATCTGGTTCTTACAAAAACTAGTGGATGTATACGTACACTTTTCTAACAAACTGAAATTTATCTACATATTCATCTGTTGTAGTCTTGTTATTTCTCAAAATTATTTCTAAAGCAGAGCTTGGTAGTAGTTTTTGTTTGACAACTCATGTAATTATAAAACTTGAACTCAAATTTTTGAGTAAAACTTTTTCTACTTTCCTCTAGGACAACTGTTTTTGTATGAAATTTAGAACTAAGAAGAAAATTTAGTGGAAAAAAAGTTTCAATTAACCAATTAATTTTGTCTCCAAATTGAATTTAAAGGAAACCCGCTTGAAAACTCTAAATTTTTGATAACTTCACTTAACTCATAAAAAGACAGAAACAAAAACACGATAAAAACCTTATCAAAGTCTCCAATTGGTAGTTTTGAATTTCGATTGTTTCTTAGACTGATATTGATTATCTAAAATCAGAAACAATTTTCTCGAAATTCAGAAATAATTAAAATGAATTTTCTATTATAATTCATGCAAACTCAAAGTTCCTGCAAACCAATCTGAGTGATTTTCAATCCAATTTGAATGAAATTTTGCTCAAAAATGAATTTTACATGGAAAACCGTATCATTTAAACAAACGTTCTCTAATCCAAAGCAATTTTAGTATAAAAAACCCATTTTTACTTTGACGATTCTGAACCAAGTAACTGTATATTTTTCTATGTTCCCTTATGTTATTGAAAAGTTTTTTTATTTCAGAGTTAAGTAGAGTTAAATAATTATTATTCTGGAAACTCTAGCAAAAATATCTCCAATTTTTCTTTAATTCGTCAATATTTAAATAATGTCTTAAAATTGATGGGCAACAAACAAAAAGTTTATGAACGTACTCGAATAATGAACTAGAAAAATTTCAGAATGATAGCTAGGCAAATCAATTCAGTTAGTCGATGTTTTATAGGAATCATGTACTTTCTGGAAAAACTTTTGCCAAAAAAGTTTCAACTCATTAGATTATTATATGTATTTTTTTTTTGTAATTTGAACACAACCGATTCG